CCATACATATTCTGGTGGTATATTAAAAAAAACAAACAAGGGGCCTTGCAAGAACTGTACAGAATATGAAAAGCAACAAAAGCTCTAATAGAATTTGTGGGGTAGTTAGAATGCACACCTACCAATTATCACTATTAGGTAGACATGTTTTTATTATAAATAAAGTAACAATGAAGCACAATGCTATTTTAATTGGATTTCCTATAAAGATAAGAAATGATCGTTGATTTTCACAACCGGCTGTAATTCAAATCTTGAAGGAAACATCGAATGAAGAAACAACAATGAATCAACAGAACACTGTCTCCAACAAATATCAAACTACTTTCACGTATCTCATAGGAATCTCACAAATATGTACTTCTAACAACATCCTACTAATCAAACAACCTAATTTATCAAACTAATGTCAATCTTCGAAAAAATAGTCAAATAATGTCAATCTTTGAAAAAATAGTCAAATAATCAACAAAAAAATCACAAATAGCATAACCACACAAACTATGAGAATAGCGGTTTTCAACAATCAAGCAAATTCTGAAAACACTAATCAATTGTAAAAAAAATTCCACAATAAAACGAATACCATACACAAATAAAATGAACTTCACATAAAAATTGGAAACACAAAACTTCACTGATCTATAAACACAAAATCTCAAATGATCGGTAAATTTGACAACAACCATAACCACACTTCAAAATCAGACAGAAACCCTAATCCCCAAACAGGCAAATCAACCGTGGTCTATGTGAGGATCACTTACCGGTAAATTGTTCGAATCTGAGGAAGAGATTAACGTCACTGCCGGCAAAACACCAAACGCGGATGCCGGTTTTTGGTATTTCTCCGATGACCGTCTTGTTCCTCTCCCGGGACGGCGTGAAGTGGGCAACCTTTCGTAGAATCGACGGAATTGGTACCGAATGTGAAGCTTCGATCGTCTGTTCACGAGCAGACCTTTACGCGAAACATTTCTCATCAACTCAAACAGGTGAAGACCAACTCTGCAAGGCACGACTATACACAGAAATGAGGGAAGATGAAGGAGAAGAAGAGAGTGCAGAGACACAGAAAAGAGGAGTCAAAACCGTGTAAAACCACAGAGGAGAGGACTCAAAACTGGGAGATTGAGGTCGGAGGAAATGAAGGAAGAGAGGAGAAAATTTTGGCAGAAACTGGAAAAGGCGCAGAGATTCTCTGCCAAGACACGACCGAAGCCTAGCTCTCTGCGCAAGAACGTGGAGTTGGATGGAGGTTGGTCACGAGGATTTACTCCTCCTGAGACAGAGAGCACAGTGTTTTTATTGTGCAAAAATTTGAGTCGTGGGCTGAATCAGGGGGGGCCTGATTTTGAATCAGGACCCACAAAAGGATCCGTGATTCAAGTAGTGTTCTCAGTCCAAAACGACACCAAACAACAATTTGAGCTAATGACTTCAATTTTTAAACCTCAATCTCCTAACCAAACGGGGCCTAAATTATTCTCTAAACTTTTAATTTTAATAGTCAAGTCCTCCTCAAAACAAAAAAACAAAAAAACAAAAAAACCTAATCCTTCTCCTCTACCGCCGCCGCCATCATCGGTTATGATCCCCGCAAGTCCCAACCCCAATCCTCCTCTGCCGCCGCTTGCCTTCTCTCGTTCTGTCTCTCCTTACATCTCTCAGAGGAAATACGACGATTTTATCGCCGCCACGTGAAGCCATCACCAGCCGGACTATCACCTCCGTAGGAACCCTCGTCACCTTCGATTTTATAGCACTCCTCAGGTTAGACAGACCTTTAGCCATTGATCGATTCCGGATTGTTCGACAAGAAGAAGAAAAGCAAGTTCTCTCTCTAGTCCAACCTTTTCCGCTCGATATTCAAGAAAATTTTCTCGAATCCTAGGAAATCTGCAATCTTTGCCACTTGGAGAGATAGGTTGTCGTCGTCATTAGTACTCCGTGCAATCAGGGGCGGAGCTAGGTGAGGCCTAGGGGGGCAGCTGCTCCCTGGGCCCACTAGCTCCTTTAAATATTTGCCCCCCATTTAAAATTTTTTACATTTTCTTCTTTCATTTGTCTCCCTAAATATTTTTTTTTTACAACTTTTACATAATTATTATTATTATTTTTTTAAAATTCAATTTTACCTTAAGTTTTAGTTCTTTTATGTACTCTTATCTCAAACTTAAAATCTCTAATAAGTGAAAGATACAAAGAGATAAATAAAAGTAAAAAGATTATTATATTGTAGTTTAGTTCAATTTTTTTGTTTCATTTATGCCCCCCTCAAAAAAAATTTCGGCTCCGTGACTCTGTGCAATTGCTAATCTTCTTGAAGCTGGGTTGGGTTCTAAAAGAGAGAAAGGGAGAGAAGTGTTACTTGTTATTTGGATTCAATGTAATCATTCTTTTTAATATTTGTTCTTTGCTCATGACTTTCTTCTTGAATACTCCGTGCAATCGCTAAGAGAGAGAAGTGTTGCTGGTTATTAGGGTATAATGTAATCATTTTTTTTTTGATTAATTACAAAAACTTTCCCTCAACTGTATCTCTTTTTAACATTTTACTTCTCAATATTTAAATGGTAACATTTGCTCCCTTAAACAATAAAATATTAATGAAAAAAACCCATCCGTTAAGTTCTTTAAACATAAATTGACATTTAATTTGTTATTTTAGGTATTTTTTTTGCTCTATAGTTTAAAATTTAATTTGAGCTTAAAACTGATTTAAATTTGAACTTTTGATTATGATATATCTATTATTGATTGAATGTAAGCTAAACATTTTATGATTGTTATTTTAGGTATTTTCATTGCTCTATAGATTAAAATTTAATTTGAGCTTAAAATAACTTTTAATTATGGTACGTCTATTATGGATTGAAGGTAAGTTAAAAAATTTATGAACTTTTTCTCGGTAGAATGAAAAGTTTTGAAGTTTTTATTTTAAATATTTGAATTATTATAAATTTAAATTAAATTTTAAACTATAGAATTATTAAAATACATTTAAAATAGTATATTAAGGCTTAGTTTGATATTGCTTTTTCATTCCAAATCAGCTTCTGCTTGTAGCAAAAGCTCATTTTAGTGTTTAGTATCTCCTCAAAAGTCCTTTTTGAAGAATTTTTTAAGAATTTACAGTCAAAATCAGAAGCAGCATCTTTAACTTTTAGATTGTGCGGGAATCAACATAGTACAATTAATGAGACTTTCATAACACCCATAATATCCCTAATAAAATTTAAAATTGACAATCTTCCCAATTTAAAATTCAGACTCGTAATATAATATAATATAATATAATATAATATAATATAATATAATATTGTAA